CCCCCCCCCCCCAACCCAAAAAAAAGGATATTTGACGAACACGGAGATCAAGAGGAAATAGGTCTCTGACGTGCATAATAGTAACTAGAAAGAAAACATAAAAACACACCGGGAGAAACCATATGGAAACGTGAAGTGCGTATGTACAGTGACACCCAATGTTCATATTTATTGAGTTCCATAGCATCAATGTTTCTTGACAACACCTAAAACATGAGCATAATAACAGATTGACAAACAAAATTAATTACCAACTTACTTGGATAAAGTGTTTGCTGTTGCCGAAGCTTCCCAGCCATAAGAATGCATTCCTAGAGCTTTGTTTTTCCAATAATCAACAATATCTAAATTCGTCCTTGGAATTCGAATCCTGTGTTTCTTTCTCCACCTTGTTAGAGTGACCCGCTCATTAACTAAAACATTACTGATATCTGTTTTAGATGAATGGCAACTCTGAGCTTCATCAATTGGTAAAATGGATGATCTTGCATTAGGAGAAGTTGAGCATCTCCTAGGAGATATTTGGTGACTACCCTCAGGGCTCATTGGAGTTGTCATATCCCTCGACATAATACGAGAAAAAGCAGTATCCGTAACTTTATTGGAGTCATTCTCATCTATATTCCAAAATCCAAACACAAGGAAGCTATATAATGTCAAAACTCAGAACAGAATGATAGAAATTGCATTCCTACTTTTAATTACCTAGAGGTCAAAGAATCTGAGATGACTAAAATTCTCCAAAGAAAAAGGGAAGAAAAATGATCACTCAGTAGATGTTTTCTTAGTACGCAATTGAATGAAGCATATGTTCTAGAACTGACATTTAGTAAGATGCAAGAAGCTTAAGATATACAATGTGTACAATCGGTAATTCAAACATTTTTATCTTTCAGCTTTCCTTAGCTTCTGAAATTACCTTTAAAATGTAGCTAACCCTAACAGAAATTGCAGCAACTGGCTAACATCTAACTGCAAGGAGTTGAACTTGTACCTTGAAGATCAGTGAATGAGGATAAGCTGACATTGTCTGGACATCTCTGGACACTAATTGACCTGGTGACAGGAAGGTCAGTGCATGAAGCTATCACTCCACTTAAAAAAGGAGAACTACCTTGTAAATCAATGCCTTTCCGTTCTTTACGTACAGGCTCTGTTGGAGAATATAAAGTCAATACAGGAGGGCAAAGATGTCCGCTCTTGGATTTCTGCCACTCTTGTGGCTGGCGAACGGAAGTTCTCATAGCATCATCTCTCAATAAAGGACTGAAGATCCACCTCTCGGCATCAGCCCACTTGGAAGGTAAGGTTCGTTCTTTATTGTGAGGCAGAAACTGTGCATTCAATTGTCTTCTATTAGAAATAGATGGCTTTTTCATGACTCCACACTGAGGTGATGAGGAGTTCGCAGCTTTGGAGAGAGAATTTTTCATATCAGCTGAATTGGTTCTTTGCCTGTCTGATTTAATCAAACCATATTCGGTTCTGGACCTCCTATCATGACATTCTAATCAATTGAAAAGAGGATGAGTGGTTAAGAACAAAACCACACAAACACACAAACAAACAAATTGCATTAAGTTGAAACACCTTTAAGAGCCTGAGAGAAGGATGTCGATGCCAAATCAAAACCTAAACCTTTGTCCCCTGTCTCAGCAATCCTGTTGTCTGCTTGGGGAAGTGGAACACAACAATGTTCATAAAGTACTGAATTTGACAAATTTAGCAGATCCATGTTTTATCACAATTCATGCAGAATTCTAAACCAGAGCAAAAGATATAAACTACCTTTTGCATGTTCATTTTTGTTTAAATCTGAAGCTGGACAACCTGAAGCCTTGCAATATACATCCCCGGCCAAGTCCTGGTTCAAATCAAACATTCAAACTCAGACAAATTTTCATTGTTTATAAGTAGAAATTATGCTATACAATTCCCTTCCTGGTCTCTAACCTCAACAGAAACACCTCAAACATAGTACAAATAAATTTCAGCTCAAGATCTACCCCCTATAACAGTTTTGTGTGCACTCCTGACTGCCCATCCGTCCTAGTGTAAGCACATAAACAATACAATAACATGCATATACAGCTAGATATTAAAGCAAATCTATTCAAATCACCACTAGAGTGGGAGATTCATACTGCAGAAATATACAGAAATACACGAAATCCAAACACGCATAACATACACAACTAAAAATACGAGTGTTAAAACTTCCGTTCTTCCAGTCCTTGGTTTTTTATGAGGGTGTAAAAATCATGAGAAGAGTGAGGATTCAAGATAAGGCAAAATGACAGGAGATTACAGTGTGAGGACCGCCGCACCAAGAGCCTTCTATGTCACGAGTGTCATATGCGAAAGAGGAAAGATGAATACTGCCGGAAGTAGAAGAGGGACTAAAGTTGGAATCGGCCTCGAAGATGACGGAAACCGGGCTGAAATCTCCGGCTCTGGCTTGCCTCCGGTGCCGAAAACCTAGCTCCGGCATTTTAAAATCCGCGTCTCATTCACTTCATCTGCTAGAGGAATGTCGTCGAAGGCTTGAAGCGTACTGGTAATTAATGGCAGGAGTAGCTGATGTCAGAGTCAGAGTGAGCGTAATTGCGTCTTAATTGCATGAATCTTCCATGGTGTGGGAATGAAGTATCGAAGATTGTGACAGAGAGATGATTTGGAAAAGGACAGATATGGAGGTGGGGAAGAAGATGCCGTTGTCCGGGTGAGGAAGAAGGTTTTGCAGCTCTTCGTCAGTGACAGTAAAATTTTACTACTCCGCCCCAAAGTCATCAACTGTCACAGTAAATGTGCAACCAAAACCACCTGACTGTACTTCTGTCATCAATTAAAACTCGATAGCGATGTTTTAATTACTCCATCCCTGCCCAATAATCCCCAATATTAGGAAAATGCTAAAGAGGCACCACGGGTGCCTCCAAGCATGCCACCCAATATATTTAAATTTTAATTTTTTTTTCAATTTTCCTTTTTTGCGTGGCTTTTCGTCTCCCGCCCCCAAAATTCCTAAATCTCCCTTCTCCCGCTTCAACCTTCACAACCTCTCCGTCCTTCTTCTCCGGCATCTGCGACGAAGTCCTTCTCCGTCCACTCCTCCAGCGCAGGTCTCCCTTCTCCCGCTTCAACCTCCATAAGCTCCAGAATTCGGAGCCGGAATCTGCGACGAAGTCCTTCTTCTCGTCCTTCTTCTCCGTCCACTCCTCCAGTCCACTCCTCCAGCGCAGGTCTGACGCTAATTTCCCTTTCCTTGGTCTCTTTCTTGAGCTCTCTGTGCTGATAATGGTATGTTTGTGTAATTTCAAATCTCCATAATGCGGTTTCAGTTTGATGTTCTTTTTCATTGGAACAAGGTATTCCCAGTTTCTTTGAATGATCTAAATGTTTCTAAAATTGATATAAAAGCCATTCAAATATAAAAGATGTTTTATTTTGAATGATATAGATGATTAACTTCTATTATTTGAACTTCATATAAGATTATTGTCTGTGAAATAGGTTTGCTTGTTATTTTTGCTTACTGTGTGAATTGTATGGCATAGATGGTTAAGTTCTGTTATTTGAACTTCATATAACCTTATTGTCTGTGAAAGAGGTCTGCTTGTTATTTTTGCTTTATTGGTTAAATAAATTTCCATATCATGACATTTAATAACTGGTTTCTGTTATATGTTAAGCATCTGGAGGCTATTATAGACAATATGATGGAAGTTCTCAGTGGGATAGAGTGCAAGAACCTCACTGTTGCTGGACCCGTGTTTGTGGTAAGGCCATTTTTCTTTAATTTTGATTGTGCTAAAAATAAGGATATGTTCAAAAGTCTTATGTTTATTTTGTATAGAACCACTTACTACGTATGAATGCCGATGAAAGAGTTTGGTCTAAGGATAAGTTCTTAAGCAAGTTTGATTGGTCTGGCGTTGAAAAGGTAACATGCTTCTTCTGACTTCCATGCACTTAAACTCATGTGAATCTCTATTCACATACATAAACTGTCTGTGTGTTTTGTAAAATAGACAATAAGTTCTTTTTTTTCTCCCTTGATGCGTAGATCTTTTTGCCCGTGAATGGAGATGGGAGACATTGGGAGTGATGGTAGATCTATTCATACACCCCTACTTTTAAACTATTTTCCCTTGCAGGTATGGCAATTGTGGAGTGATGGTGCTAGCATTTCTAGAGTATTTGTTGGTGGGCTTACCATTAAGCCTGGACTGCATTTCTGAACACATGGCTGATTTCCAATGTCAATTTGTGAAACTCTTTATAATGGTTTTTGTGCTTTGTAATGTATTTTTTGGGGAAACACTTTAGATTTTTTTGAAAGCTTTGTAATGGGGCTTTTATAATCATGAATTTCTACTTGTTAATCCACAATGTGTTAATGTATGTGATTACTGATTTACATTAGTTTATGACTGGTTTACAAATTTACTTTCAGAGCCCTCGCAGAAAATAACTGTCTATTTTACCCATTTCATAGAGATTTAATGTATGTGACGACAGAGTTACATAACTTTATGTACATACACCATTTTCAGAATCTTATCACATATGTGGTGGTCTTGTAAAGGTAAAAATAAAGTTAAAACGCATACATTAGATTTCATGGTGCTCACATGGAATAACTGTCTATTTCACACACTTCATAGAGACTTAATGTATGTGAAGACAGAGTTACATCAGGTTTACATTAGTTTATGTGCATGGAACTCAGAGAAAGTTATCATATTTGTTACATACTTTACACAAAAAGCAAAAAGCAAAAATCTATGTGATTTACAATTCCCATGCTCATTCCAAAAACGAGAGCAAAGTTTTAGATCTGATGCAAAAAAAGATCTGTTAAAAGTCAATGTAGTGAAAGGCCAAGCTCCAGACCTCCCAAGGTGAGGTCGTAAACACCATCTTCGTCTTGCACGGGCCAAGCGTGCTGCCGTTGTGATGCAATGATCTCAGACGCATCCATTTTCTTCCTCTTATTAGGTAGGTTATCATTTTTCTACCTTCTTTCAGTTTCGGGGTTTTCTCTGTATTCCTTTTTCTTGTTTTCTTTTGACAATTCTTTTCCGTGTTGGACTTGAGACGACTCGTTCGTGGAGCTCCTTTGCGTGTGCCGATTATGGGGTCAACAAATTGCTTGAGTGTTGTCTTTGAATGCACGTAGTCATCAAAGAAAGCATTCATGACTTCACTACGATGCGTTGAGGACATACCTGTGGAAGAAATTACTGTTTAATTTCTGACCATTGTTCCGGACATCATTGTTAATGTCATCTGTGTTCTGTCCGATCTCACCACTCGCCTGTTCTTGCCCTTCGTCGTTAAATAAATATTGAAACCAAGGATCGTTAAGAAACAAATCTGGTTCAAAAGCTGCAAAAAAACAGCATCTTTAATATAATACAATGCCTGACTATGAAGAAAACAAAAATACACCAAATGCAGAGTGCATACAGATTATTAACATCTGTGACAAGGACAAACCCTAGGTTCACAGAACTTTAATCTCTGTAACACCAAAACAAAACAGTATTTTTTCACTACTTCAATTGAATATAGAATGGGGTCTAAATATCAACACTTTCAATTGGGCTGCAAGTCATATAAAACCAGGTCTTCTTCTTCACCACCAAAACGTACACCAACTAGTAAGAGTTGTACACATTGTTATGTACAAACATTCAGGTATTAGTGGTTTATGGGATACATGAGGTGTTTTTAAGTTTTTTAATAACGATATGTTTAACTGATTTTTACCTTACTTCTCTTCTCTAACTGTCTCCCTACCAGCACGATGTCCCCAACCGCGTAGTCTCTATACTTCTCCTTCTATTCAAAAAGAAAATATTACCTGCAGGAAGGAGAGCGCAAAAAAGGGAGAGGAGAGTCGTGCGGCTGCTTGGCGCGGAAGAGCAGAGCCGCGCAACGTAGAGGAAAGAAAAAAAGAAAAAAAAGAAGGAGAAAAGGTTAAAAAATGGCTTAAATAAGGAGGCAGCAAAGGAGGCAGGGGCGGGTGCACTGTAGCACGGTCCCCAATATTAACATCCATAGTAATGTTAGATCCGAATTTTATTCTTTGCAATTTGTAAAGTGGTAATTATGCTAAACATAAATCCTCTGCAATTGCTAGATAGAAACTTCACTCTTTGTCACTAATCTTCGATTAAAATCCAATTTATCTTCTTCCTTTCATGAGTGTCTGGCCAGGTATGAGGTGGCTTTGGGAGATTGGACCCATTCTTTAAGAAATGGGTTATGCTAACATTTTTTTGTTTGCCGTATTTTTTTTAAATTTGTTAACATTAGTTTGTCCTTTGTCTTTGTGTGCTTTGAGATTTATATGTGCTTTCTCTGCGTTTTATGTATCTTATGATATCTTTTATTATTATATATTATTTTCTCTATCCCAATGTATATTGTATATTTCGATTTACAATGTTTGGCTGAAATTATTACCAAATCATTCTATATGAAAAATTATTACCAAATCATTCTACATGTTAAAATACTACATCTATCAAAAGATCTACAAAATTAGTGGTGACATGACTATTATTTTATCAAATGACTAACAAAAATAGAGAAAGAAAGTGAATAAAGTTTGACGCTGTGAATAGTAAATATACAATTTAATTTGGGACGGGGGATTATTATTTTTGCCGAGTGAGCCGAAGATCTCTTGGAAACAACCTCCCTACTTTCGAGTAGGGGAAGAGTCTGCATACAAACACCTTCCCCATACTCTATTCTTTTAGGACCCAACTCGGTTGTTGTTTTTTGGGTTATGCTACCATTTGTACACCTATGCATTGCACGAGCTAAAAATGCAAATGCGACACTATCATTATATTATTGTTGCACTTGTATTTTATGCTCGTGTAATGTATTGGTGTACAAATAGAGATTACAATATATACATTTTTTGTTTGAAAATGAAATTTTCAATTAGTGTTCATATTTTTAATTTATGTTAAGATTTTAAAATAATATTAACATTTAGATAGTTTTTTATTGTATACATAAGCTTTAAAAAATATTAAAAACAAACGTTATTAATAAATAACATTTCCAAAATACTAAAATCAAACACAAATTGTTATTAGGTACGAAGTTGTAAAACGTATGATTAAGATGTAAGTCATTTTTTTTGAAAAAAAGCTTTATATATATATATATATATATATATATATATATATATATATATCTGTTACAATCTTTTTTGTACGGATTACAACGGACGGGGAAGATGAACGGCCCCGGTAATAAAATTAAATAAAATTCTGAATTTATAACTTATTCAGAATATTACAAAATAAAAAGAATAGAAAATAAATTTCTATATCTTCTCAAAAAGCCTCGTTGTATGAGGACATTAAGCACTGGACACGAGGACATTATGTCATAGGGCAGAATGCAGCGAGGTTTTTATGAACTTAACCTGCAAAATAAAACACCGTGGAAGGACAGCGGAGTCGCCGGAGTTGTCCTTAAGGTAGTAGTGCCCGCCTACCGTACCGGAAAAACGTGGGCACTCTCCTCCCAGGATAAAACCGCTATCGTGTGTGGAAATTGTACGGACCAACCACACA